ATAACAACTTTTTATAATAAGCACTTGCTGGCCTAATAGACCTTGGGCTTGGACTTTAGGCCCTGATCCAGTAAAGCACTTAAGCATGTGCATAGTCCTATTGATATCAATTGACTTCAATTGATTGATGGGCCTAAGTTAAGCATGCGCGTAAGTGCTTTGCTGGATCAGGGCCTTATTAGTCACAAGATAAGGTCATTGCCTGGTAAACAGGAAGCAGCTTCTAGCCATGATTATGTACCATTTTAAATAACCTTTCAAATCTGCATCCCCAACAAGTGATATCCACTATATTAGTAACTGTGTTGAGTTTTTCCAGTGCTGGAAAATAAATCTATATAGAACTGCAGTGGATCAGATGCTGTATTTTCTCCAAATAGCTAAATTGTCAACATTTAATGCCAGCATTTAGCTATCCAGCAGCTGCCAGTTTGTAGTGCAACTATTACAAGTTAATACCTTATAAAACTTATTTTCTTTGTTTGATGCACTAGCAGTATTTTAGGACACATCTAAAGACATATTTATGTTTTGGCTCTGGTCTCTTGATCCTCTCAGTACTGAACACAATTTACTTTTCAAGGAGGTGTTTTTTATACTTTTTCTTTTTGCCTCCCTTCATTTTATTTAGAATCTTGTAAATGACTTTCCCATCTCCTTTTCCATTTAGCAGTTTCCCTTCTACTCCAGTCATGTTTCAATGAAAGCTGAAAAGGCCATGGCTATTTCAGATAACTTACTACAAATGTGCATAATCCCTGACCACACCAAGCTACTATATCTTTTTTCTCTGAAATCATGAAGTTAACAGAGCTCTAGGAACAGTTTTTTGCCCCTAGTGTTCCAGCAGAGGGCACACAAGAGTGCAAAATATTTTTGCAGGGCTCTATTTTTCTTACGTTAATTCCTTGGCAGTGTTGTGGCAGACCTGAAATAAACAAAAAGCTGATGGGCTTGGGATTTTCAAAAGCACCTAACATGATTTAGGAGCACAAATCCCACTGAAAGTCAATAGGACTTTTGCTCTTAAATGACTTAGATTTTGAAAATCCCATCCAGGTTTGTGATTTGAGGTGTTGTAAGGGAGTCTGGGTTTTAGGAGTCTGGTTCTAACTATCTGCTCTGGTCCTACTGAAGTCAATGGCTAAACTCCCATTGACATTGTTAGGAGCAGGAGCAAATCTTCACCTAGTAACCAAGGAATAAAGATAGTAAAAGAAATAAGAAGAGAAAGGGAGAGAAGAAAACAGAAGGGGCGGGGGGCATGAGAAACGAGAAAGAAGAGAAGCACTAAAAAAAAGTAAAAGAAGGGAAAATAGAGAATAAAAATAAATGGAAAGAGTGGGAAGGGCATTTTCTGGGGACCCAAAGCTGCTAGTGAAAACCACAATTCATTAAAACAGCTGCACTATAATTTCAGAGTCCTCTGAACAAAAATGAGTATTGATCCCCTGGCAGATGCATGTGCATCTAGCAAATAGCCCTCTCAAAGTTTCTCCAGAATGCAAACCTCCACATGAGGATTCTGGCAAACAGAAAATCCTTAATGTAAAAAGAGAAGAGACAGAAATCAACTGACAACAGGAACAAGTATATAGGGTAAAGTGGGCAGATAAACACTGAAGGAACATTTAGACACTGGGACCAAATTCTACCAAGATTGACCTATGGTGACAAAGGGGGACTTTAGGGTCACAAACCTGGTGAGTCTAAACAACAGTTCCTTCTGAAAAAGAAAAATAGCGTTTCAGCAGGTCAGATTCTCAGCCCTGGTGCTAGTCCCTTTATGCTGTCTGAGTGGTGCAAAGGGGTTAGAATTGGGCTACATCAACCCAGCTGACAATTTCCCAGGTGGTGGGAAACTCTCCTTTAATGTAAAGTGGCTAGAGCTGGCTTCTGTAGCACCTGCCCTGGCACAGCTTTGCCAATTCACAGCTGACATATAGTCTTTTAGGGACCACATAAATCAGGTGTCATTAATCTGTCATAGCCTCAGTGTGGCTGCTTTGAGAATCAGGGAACCATAACTGGCCTCTGAGGTGACACAACCCTTGTTCAGGGCAATGGTATAAACTGACAGTCTAGCCCACTGTTTGCAAAGTGCTGACCTTCTTGGAAGGAAAGTGCTACTTAATTCAAAGTATTATGAATGAATGCAACCGATTTAAAGGAGCCCACCGTATTGATGTGTACACCCCCCCCTCCACACACAAGGTGTAGATATATACACACACAGAGAATATATACATATATACACACACACACACACACGGTATGTTATACTGCTTTTAAAGAAGCATGATCTCTTTAAAAAGCATATTCAGAGGAAAATATGTATCATATGCAAAAGCTATAGCTAAACTGTGCTTTTAAAAATATTATTTGTGTTATGGTAGTGCCTCGGGGCCCTGATCAGGGCTCCTTAGTGCTGTGTGCTGTACAAACACAAAGAGATGGTTCCCTGCCCTGAAAAGTTTTATGCCTTCTATCCATAAGACTACACATACTTTGCCTGTGACAAACACACACAAAGCAGATGGAGAAGCCACAAGTCACTCCTACACTTCGTGCTTCAGCTCAGAGATTGCGAGGGTGAGCCGAAGACAACTGTGACTAACAGGGCCAGGAAATTCCTGAGAGAGTAAGAATGATTGCTAACAGCTCTGAGAAAATCTTCCTTGGACTATTATCCCATAGAGAGTGATAGTGGTCTTAATAGGCTTAACCAAACAAACAGCTCTGAGAAACTAGAAATATTCCCTTTGAGATTTGAGTAAAGGAAAAAAAAAAAAGAGAAGAGAAGTTTATGCTAAAGGCAGTTAGACACACATGTGATATTGTCTGTGTGGCACTCAGACCTGTTATGAGTGTCTCTCAAAGAAGACCCCATATCTCAACTGGATAAAAGAGAAAGTCCCATTTAACTTACTGCAATCGTCTAGTAGCTGGTTTGATTCACCTATGAAAGGACAGGAATCCCCAAATATGAGATATGTAATCATGTAAAACCTTTTACAGCAGCCACGATGGCAGTTCAAATGGTGCCTTTGACTCATTTAAACACCTTGGAAAATTCTGCATAAAGATGTATCCAATGAAAAAATTGCTTGAAAACTATTTATTTCTAGCTTAGGATCTTTAGCATGAATGGCTAGAAGAGGTGAAGAAATGACTCAGCTCCTAGATTTGTGAAAGCTAGAATGAACAAGAAGAAAACACAACATGTCCAATAGTTAAAAACAGTCTTGAGGTTTCAGAAGTTTCAGCAGCTTCTTTTGAGTGCTCCCATGCTAGGTTCCCTGCAGTGGCTTTGCCACCAAGGTATTGAATCAGAACTAGCAGATACAACTCCTCCTCCAAGAAACCAGTGCTCAAACAGTGATGGATGGCAATATAACCCCTCAGAGAAATGCTGTTTCCTCAGCTGCCTCTTGTGCATTGTAAGTGATGTCTGAATAAATCAGCTGGTTGGGTAGAAGTGGAGAGGAAGTATGGTCTTATGCTAAGGAACTATGCTTTGGGTTCAATTTATAGTTCCCAGGTAATCTTGTTCACTAATTCTCTATGCCTCGGTCCCCCATCTGAAAGAAAAATGGAGATACTTCCTCTTTCTCTCACATTGTATCTAGTCTTGTCTACTTAGATTGTAGTTTCTTTGGGTCTCTCTTTTATGTGTGCATATAGTGCCTAGGGCACTAATCACAGTTAGGGCCTCAATCTCACTATACTATAATATATACCTATCTCCTAGAACTGGAAGGGACCCTGAAAGGCCATCGATCGAGTCCAGCCCCCTGCCTTCACTAGCAGGACCAAGTACTGATTTTGCCCCAGACCCCTAAGTGGCCCCCTCAAGGATTGAGCTCTCAACCCTGGGTTTAGCAGGCCAATGCTCAAACCACGGAGCTATCCCTCCCTTGTGGGTACTACTACTTTATATGCTGCAGGTGTGTCACAGGATACACTGAGGGTATATTGAGTGTTCTACTTTCGATAAGGTCACTAGGCTGCATGATACTTTTCACCAGACAGTGCAGAGGGGAAGCAACATGTGGCAAGTGGGGAGCCAGAGCAGAAGAGGGAGCATGCTGTGCTGCATTCTCCCCTCTTGGAGGTATTTTGATGTGCTTAGATTATTCCATTTGGTAGCGACTCTACATCTCTGGGAAGGAAGTAGAAGGGAGCAGCTGAACTCTGTAGGATGCCCCCAAGCAACTGGGAATATCTGAAAGGGGATTACTGCTGCTCAGACCAGCAATAGCACCATGTATCCATCAACAACTTTCCCTCCAGCCCCCCAAAGTGTTTTTGTTTTGCTGCAAAGAAGCTAGTTATTCCAGATTGGCTTGGAAAAACTGTAGCCTCAGCAGATTGCTATTATACCCTGTAAAGGTCCAGACTCACCCCTGCAGCGCCTCCTGCTGGTCATCCAGGGAATTAGCTCACCAGCATCCAGAGCGCCCTCTGCAGGCCAGTGATCTGCCTTGTCCTCTGCTGGCACCCCTGTCAGCACCCCACAGATCTGGGTCTCCCCTCCCTGGGGAACCCCCACCCACTATCCCCACCTTGCCTCAACACAAGGCCACTGCCAGTCACCAACTAGTCCCCACTCCCTGGGACAGACTGCAGTATAGGCTACTCATCACTGGCAAGGGGGTGGGGTTGGACCTGCTGCCCTGGCCTGCCCTCTGCAACCCCCAGAACTCCTTGGCCTAATACTAAGCTGCAGCCTGGGGCTTTCCAGGCTGGGGCTCCCCAGCCCTGCTCCACTCAGGTGCCCTTTGTCTAGCTCCCTGCAGCAAGGCCCTTCTCTCTCTGGAGACAGAGAGAGACTCTGGCCTGAGCTCCTGGCTCTCAGCCTTTATAGGGCCTGCTGAGGCTGTTTGGGGCATGGCCCCAGCTGCAGTCACTTTCCCCAATCAGCTCAGCCCTTCCAGGCAGGAGCAGGTGTCCACCCGGCTACATACCCCCAACACATGTGCACAAAAAAGAAACAGGAGTTTTTGTGTTTGGCACAAACAATTTTATTCTTGTGCTATTTATTTGTAAGAGAGTGATTTTAAAAGTTTAACATGTATCCTACCCAGATACATAAACTGGTTTATTAATAGATTACTGCATGTGAAACCAAAGAGATCAGCTCACACTTAAAGATATCAGTGCACATAGTGGTACGCCATTATGATTCAACCTGGAATTAATACGTTGTTATTTTGTCATGTTATACATTTAGGGCCCAATCCCATATGTCTTGAGCAGATAAAATTCCAAGTGTGTATGAACTATGGGCTTCAGCTCTTAGTAAATTAGAAAGGAAAAACCTAAAGACAACATGAAATGCAATATACAGATAAGAATATATGTAATGTCTTTGTTAGTTGTCTTTTGAAATCTGATGTAATGGAATACTGTATTTCGATGATATAGGGTCTGATTCTGTAAGAGAGCTAAACCAATTTACCCTGCCAAGGATCAGGCCCTCTGTGTTATTAACATCTACTGGGTGTTTGAATAGGACAAGATTTTGCACTTATTTAAGAAAGTATTTGAATGAGAAATAAAATCTGTTAGTTTCAGCTTGATTTTCTAGTTGTTAAAATGTCTGTGAAATTAAAAACTGCTTAGATCTCTGTGCAGCTTGTTATTTAGGGTAATCTAAGGAAGGCAAGATGAACTTTTACTGCAAAAAACGTTCAATGGCTTTAAAAGAGATTCAGAACAAGTTCTAAAAAGTACAATTTTATCAGACAATTTCTTTTAAAATCAGATTAGTTACTATAATGTAAAGGATATTCGTTAACTGTAAGACATTGAGTCAGTGATAATATGAGGTTATATTTTGGGTGTGATCCTGCACCCTTAACATTAATAGTCTCATTGGGTACTAATCACATGAGTAAGGGTATCCTTAACTTGGTCTCTTCACCCATTGATACCTGAGGGCCTGATTTGCTACCAATACTCAGGCTGAGTGGTACCTCACTCTGAACAAGTGCATTGACCTCAATGGGAATCCTTGCTGCCTAAGGTATTATGCAATGGATGAAACTCACCTCTGTACAGAGAATCAGCATGAATCCTTTGCACCATTTAAGCTCCCCCCAAGCATTCAAAATCAGTCTAGGTCAGTGGTGGGCAACCTGCGGCCCACATGCGGCTCGTCAGGGTAATCCACTGGCGGGCTGCCAGTTTGTTTACATTTGCACGGCCGCCTGCAGCTCCCAGTGGCCGTTGTTTGCCCATCACTGGTCTAGGTCTTCTGCACAGCGGTGAATTTCACTCAGTGTGTGTAAGGGAGCAGAATTGGGCTCTGATTGATTTACAAGGATAATCTCTATTAATGTTAATGGGAGTTACAAACACTGACCCCTCAGACCTCAGTAGAAAAATACAATATATAGGGTACAAATGCCAGACACCCCCCTCTCACTGCTTGTGAGAAAGTATATGATGTTCAACCTCCCATTTGTGCATACTGATGCACATTTCTAGGCAAATTGCAAGTGCACTTTTGGAGGCTGGTTTTCAAAATTTGGCCCCTAAACCTTATAGAAAAATAGATTTTATAGAATAAACTATTTTGCATTGGCAACATTTCTCAGGAATTATCTTTCTCCTATAACCACATGTTGCCTTGGATCTATGGGAAGATCATGAAATTACATAAGTTGCCCAAAGAGTCTAAATATGAGGTTTCTCTCTAGTCCAGTTGAATTCTCAGTACAATCTAAAATCATATTTCGCTCATATAAAAGTAGATTTTGCAAGGCTATTGATTTGATATTTATGAATCAGCAGCTTTCTTCAGGACACAGACTTAGTTTCTTCAACTTTACCTTCTTTACTTTAAAAAAATGTCCTGCAATAGAAAAGAAACAATTAGCTAGAATGCATCTTTAGGACTTTGTGATAAGCACCATATAAAATAATGAAATCACAACTGGCTGATTTTGGTTTGCATTTTATCTAACCACGGAGAGAACGATCACAAAATCTTCATGCAGACCTACATGAGAAGTCTTACCTTAGTCCTTTTAGTGGCCTGTGATCATGTTTAGAGAAACCATGAATGAAAAGTATACAGAAAGTTGGCACTATAAACTGGGTTTGAGAAGCAGTTAAGGATAATTCTTGGGACAATCATTGAATGACAGCTGAGTAATAGAAACAGGCCCGCAATAAAAAGGCAAAGAGACATGAATAATTATTGCCAGGCACACCAAGGTATAATATGAATAGTAACTAGAGCTGTCAAGCCATTAAAAAAATTAATTGATCATGATTAATCACACTGTTAAACAATAATAGAATACCATATATTTAAATATTTTTGGATGTTTCCTACATTTTCAAATATATTGATTTCAATTATAACACAGAATACAAAGTGTACAATGCTCACATATTTATTTTTATTATAAAATATTTGCACTGTAAAAAACAAAAGAAATAGTGTTTTTCCATTCGCCTAATACAAATACTGTAGTGCCATCTCTTTATTATGAAAGTTGAACTTACAAATGTAGAATTATGTACAAAAATAACTGCATTCAAAAATAAAACAATATAAAACTTTAGAGCCTACAAGTCCACTCAGTCCTACTTCTTGTTCAGCCAATCACTCAGACAAACAAGTTTACATTTGCAGGAGATAATGCTACCTGCTTCTTGTTTACAATGTCACCTGAAACTGACAACAGGAGTTTGCATGGCACTGTTGTAGCTGGCGTCACAAGATATTTACATGCCAGTTGCGCTTAAGATTCATATGTTCCTTCAAGCTTCAACCACCATTCCCGAGGACGTGCGTCCATGCTGATAACGGGTTCTGCTTGATAACAGTCCAAAGCAGTGCGGACCAATGCACGTTCATTTTCATCATCTGAGTCAGATGCCACCAGCAGAAAGTTGGTTTTCTTTTTTGGTGGTTCGAGTTCTGTAGTTTCCACATCAGAGTGTTGCTCTTTTAAGACATCTGAAAGGATGTCCACACCTCATCCCTCTCAGATTTTGGAAGGCACTTCAGATTCTTAAACCTTGGGTCGAGTGCTGTATCTCTCCTTAGAAATCTCATATTGGTACCTTCTTTGCGTTTTGTCAAATCTGCAGTGAAAGTGTTCTTAAAATGAACAACATGTACTGAATCATCATTTGAGACTGCTATAACATGAAATATATGGCAGAATGCAGGTAAAATAGAGACATATAATTCTTCCCTAAGGAGTTTAGTCACAAATTTAATTAAGGCATTTTTTTTTAATGAGCGTCATCAGCATGGAAGCATGTACTCTGGAATGGTGGCCAAAGCATGAAGGGGCATACGAATGTTTAGCATATCTGGCACATAAATGCCTTGCAATGCCGGCTACAGAAGTCCCATGCAAACGCCTGTACTCACTTTCTGATGACATTGTAAATAAGAAGAGGGCAGCATTATCTCCTGTAAATGTAAACAAACTTGTTTGTCTTAGTGATTGGCTGAACGAGAAGTAGGACTGAGTGGACTTGTAGGCTCTAAAGTTCTGCATTATTGTCTTTTTAAGTGCAGTTATTTAACAAACAAACAAACAAACAATAATCTACATTTGTAAGTTACATTTTCCCAATAAAGAGATTGCACTACAGTACTTGTATGAGATGAATTGAAAAATACTGTTTATTTTGTTTGCCATTTTTACAGTGCAAATATTTGTAATAAAAAATAATATAAAGTGAGCTTTGTATACTGTGTTGTAATTGAAATCAATATATTTGAAAATGTAGAAAAACATCCAAAAATATTTAATACATTTCAATTGGTATTCTATTGTTTAAAAGTGCAATTAAAACTCTGATTAATCGCGATTAATTTGTTTTAATCACGTGAGTTAACTGCGATTAATCGACAGCTCTAATAGTACTAATAGAACTCTTGTTCTTTGGACTTATGGGAGTAGTAATTTTTAACTGCCTAAATAACTATACATTCCTAAAATAAGAAGATATTATTCATGTAATTGTTTTCACAACTGCCTAGGTAACAGTAGGCTCTCCCATGTCTGTGTGGGTGAGGCGCCAATCCTGTGAGCAGCTGTGCCCCTTCTGAGGAGACCACTGGGGAATGAGAGCACTCAGAACTGACAGGATCAAGCTAGACGTGCGTGTGCATACGTGCAAGTGTTTGTTTTGTGGTGGAAAGAATGATAACTATTCCAAAGACCAAGAGAGAAAAAAAAATCAGCAGAGGCACCATGATACACGAACAACAATCAAATGTGCATGGGATCACACTGATGCCAAACAAATATCAGCTCCAGTTTACTGTAACAGAACCCTGGAGGGTCTGATTGTACAACAGGCATTTAACTAGGGTGACCGATATATTAGATAGAAAAATAGTTTCCTTCAGCAGGAAGCATGATGTCTGTTTGCTGAGGGAACTTGTTTGCTGCCATCAATACACATAGAATGCAACTCTTTGTTTAGGTAAGGTAGAATTTTTCTGATGGAAATAACCGTAGCTCCATCAAATCCCACTATACCTGCCTCTGGCAAATGAACCCGCTTTTAACAGGCTTACTTAGATACTTTATTTTATGGGATGCTAGATAAGCCATTATCTCTGTTATTACTATTAGTCAGTTAAATGGACTGTCACACTCATAATCTCAGATAAAAACTAAATCTGCATAGGGCTAGAGTGTATCTTTAGGAACAGCCCTGAGCAAGGGTAACTAGGTCCCTCCAGACCAGGCAGTGAACTCTGCTAGTGACTCAGTTTCCCCTTAGATTCAGTCAGTCACTGACTCCTGGGTCTCTGTAGTGACCTCGGCCCAGACCCTCAAAAGGTATTTAGATGCCTAACTCCCACTGAATATTAGGCCACACAGAGATTATCTTCAATCTCCATCCTGTCCTCAGTGTTTAGTGGTCCTATTTCTTTCCAGGTTTTCTTTTTACTTATATGGCTAAAGAACCTTTTACTACTGATTTTAATTTTCTTTGCATGGTTCTTTGTTCTGTTGGGCTTTCAGCTGTTCTCCTTTTATCCCTACACTTCTTGATCTGTTTTCCCATAAAACACGCACATACTCATAAATGCTGATAATTATGCAAATCTTGAAGTTATGCACTTAAACACTGTTGGTTTTCAATATACATTAAGGATCTGATTTTTATGGCTGCAAAGCACCTACAGCTCCCACTGACTTCAGCTGGAGTTGGGATGCTCAGCACATCTGAAAGTTTGGCCCTCTAAATGTGCTGATCGTGTTGATCTGACAAAATGCATGTCAGGCAAGAACAGTGAAAACTGCCAGTCACCCACCCAGGGCCAAATCTACAGCTGGCGTAAACCAGTGTAGCTCCATTGAAGTCAATGGAACCATGCTGATCTACATCAGATGAGAATCTGGTCAATGTATAGGCCAAATTCTGCTCCCAGATATTCATGAGCATCTCCAAGTCAGTGGTGCTGTACAATTTGTCTTATCTTGTGCAAACTAGTAATGTGTAACAATTCACATGTGTAAACAACATGTAACTTTTTGTCCTACACCTCTAATGTAAAACATTTCAAAAAAATGTACTACTAATTTTTGGAAGATAGTACAGTGATTGGTGCTCCACAAGTGCCTAAAACAGATACATGTAACCAGACACGTTTTGCTTAGCATATCAAAAAGGAGCTAAAGCAATATAAATTTTTTGTTACTTTGACAAGTTAATTCTAATCCCCTCCCAGCGAAAGGCCCAAATGTGTGTGCTACTGTCTCTTACTATATCTCTGTACAATGTGGCCCTGATCCTTGTTATTGCCTTTAATTGCTACCGTAATATAAATTATAATAATAATTATTTTAATTCAATTATGATCACTAATACAATTTATTAAAAAACAGTTTAAATTTTATAGCTCTAAACTGTAAGTCCCTGTGCTCTAGCAAAATCAGACAAGGCAAAAGCGCAAAGGACACACCAATACACCATGCGAGATCCCGGTAAGAAGACAGGCTGAGGCATGCAATGCACAGGTATGCACATGCTTTGGAAAATAATGCATCCTCACAATGAAACAGTATGTATCAACCCAGATCTGGCTATTCACCACTGCAGTGGCTACAGCTGCAGGAGATACCCTTGTCTGTACACAGCTGCACTGCCTTCAAAACCCTTTCTGTTTGTGTTGGGACTGAGTGTTGATGAGGGGAAAGTAGGGCTAAATGTACAGGATATGAAAACACACAATAATGATGAAAGTTATTTCCTTGCTTGCTGGTATGTGTATAGGTATTAAACATTTTTACTACAGTTTCTGGGTCAGATCCAGAAACCAGCTGGTGTAAAGCAGTGTAGCTCCACTTAAGTCAGTGCAACTACTGTGATTTACACCATCTGAGGATCTGGATCCCTGTAGGCAATGGGAAATCAGGCTTAATAACTTCCCATTACCAGTGTATTTGGCATAGGTACGTCTGCAAATATGTCTCCCTGGGGCAAGTTAGAAAACAAGGCTCTGTTTTTGAAAATATCTGTCTGAAATAAAACAACTGGTATCAATATTATGTGCCCATTTGGTTTTAACTCACCTAGTCCTTTGCTTAACTGAATATACTAATTAGTTTTGCATTATCTCATTGCTTTAGATATTTGTAATATTCACTAAGGTACTTGGGAGCCTAAGGGAATGTCTACACTTTGAACTGTATCAAATGCTTTACTGAAGTCCACGTAGATTAGATCTCTTGCATTTCCTTTATCTAAAAAAAATCAGTTCTCTTCTCAAAGAAAGAGATCAGGTTGATCTGGCATGATCTACCTTTTGTAAAACCATGTTGTATTTTATCCCAGTTACCATTTACCTCTACGCCTTTAATTACTCTCTCTTTCAAAATTTGTTCTAAGCCCTGGCATACAATGGAGGTCAAATTCCAGCTCAAGGAGAGAGACCCACGCTAGCTCTGATTGAGTTAGTGTATTAAAAATAGAGCACAGCCAAAGCAGTGGGAGGGGCTAACCACCCTGAGTACGTACCCGTCCAAGGTGTTAGGCATGTATTTGGGGCAGCTAGTCTTTCCTGCCACTTACGCTGCTCTGGCTACACTCTGTTTTGAGTGCACTAGCTCAATTAGCGCTAGCACACTATGTTTCCTCAAGGTGGCATTTATACCTTCCAGCTCAAAACGCAGACATACCCCCCCTTAGTCTCAGTGAATGCCTCAGTTGCTTTTGAAAATGGGATTGAGGTGCCTAAGTCACTAAGGCACTTCTGAAAATTTCCCCCAAGTGACTAATTTATTTAATTAGCCAAATATAGTAGTTGCAGTCCAATAAGAAATATAATTAAATCTTCAGGTTTGAAGAAGGAAGTTTATAGTATATGAGAACATCTATGAGGAAGACAATTAATGGCCATTAATTACAGTGATTACAGTAACAGTTAAAATAAACAAACATTCCTTAGTAAGATTATCTGTATGTTAAAAGGCAAACTAGCCAGTCTGTTGTTACTAGCTGTTTAACTGCTGAGGAAACAGAATGTATACACTTACATTTCATCATCATATTCCTTTGGAGGAGACACTGCAATGACTAAATCAATCCAATCCTGTAAAAATAATGTATTATTGTTAGGAGAGACTTAAGCAGCCAGGTAATTCTCTCTTGCGTTACTTGACCCTTTGAAAGTGGAACTTTCACAGAGAGCTTCAACCAGATCAGGATTAAACATAAAAGGGACAAACTCTGCCCTCGGACACATCCAAGCAACCTCATAGGTGGAAAGTCGATGAGTCAGAGATCTATTGAGAGGTTACTCCACATAGCAGGAGGTGAAGAGGGAAGGCTACTGTAACAACATGGCAACGTCATGGGAAGAGTCATGGAGGAATCCATTGCTAGGAGGGAAAAGGGCAACAGGAAAAAAATCTATTTGATACTGGCTGAAGTTAGTCTCAAAAGCCTAAGGAGCGTTTTAACAACAAGCTGGTTAATTTTGAATTACATCCCAAAATCAACAAATATTTTCTCCACTGCTGTGTATCAAACTCTTAGGATGACCATTTATACCCTGCACTGGGCCCTTTTAACATTTGATATCATTCTTGTTTAGAAGATTCTCACTGTAGCCAAAACACTAGTTTTTTGTGCATCCGTTGTGAAGGATTCGATAAAACTGTGATGCTGTGATAAAGTCCTTGACAATTCCCAATTCATCTTCAATGTTAACATCTTGGAAAGACTTACCAGGAACTGCCCAGAGCCGAATACATTTAAACCAAACAACTCGCGTGGCTGCTGTGTACTTCTCAGGGGGAAAACACCCATTCACTTACCCCACCCACATTCCAGGCTTTGACTAAAGTTGTCTGGGCTTCTGTCAGCGTCACATCAACTAAAATCTTGCCATTCACAGCCATTATTTCATCCCCTTTCACGATGCCTCCTGGTGAAGCAAAGACAGAGCAAAAATACCATACCAGTAACATCATTTCTGTCAGACTTCTCTCTCAGATGCCTCTTCTTCACACACATTCAACAAACATCCCTATGTAAATTAGCCTGAAACCTTTCCTAGATGTACACTGCAGTAGTGCAGAGAAGGTGGCTTGTTGTAAATGAAAATAAGTGGAAGCTTTAGGTGCTGGGACAGTGAGTATAACATTCTTCTGTTGGTTGTGGCCAATAAGGGCTAATCAGTCTCTGGTTATAGATTCATAGATTCATAGATTCTAGGACTGGAAGGGACCTCGAGAGGTCATCGAGTCCAGTCCCCTGCCCGCATGGCAGGACCAAATACCATCTAGACCATCCCTGATAGACATTTATCTAACCTACTCTTAAATATCTCAAGAGATGGAGATTCCA